CCACGGACGGAAACTTTTTCTATGTCTTCAACATGGTGGAAGTGATGTGGGATCTCTTTGAGTTGCATGCTCTCTGTTCCTGTACCCCTCCACGTGTGTGTGTGTGTGTGTGTGTGTGTGTGTGTGGCGGGGGGTACTGGGGATTGAACCCAGACCCAGAGGCAATCTACCCTGAGCTACATCCCCAGCCCTTTTATTTATTTCAGACAGAGTCTTGCTAAATTGTTGAGAGTCTCCCTCAACTGCTGAGGCCAGCCACAAATTTATAATCCTACCGTCTCAGACTCCCAGTTTGCTGGGATTACAGGCACACATCATCTCACCTGGCTTGGATCTCTTTGATAAGGACATTAATCTCATGGGGGGAGTGTTCTCATGGACTAATCACCTTAAAAAAGCCCACCTCCTAATACCATCACCTTAGGTGCAAAAATTCCAGCTATGAATTTGGAGGCAGGAAGACTTAACCACTCAGACTATAGCAGGAGCATAGAACAGTATCTGGTGGACAAATGAGTTCCAGCAGGAGTAAGATGGGCTATTTAATGATCATTTGCTATTTAAAGAAACTAAGCCATTCACTTTTACATTTTTCTTTTGCTTTGTTTTTGCTGCTTTAAACTCATTCATGTATTTACTATTTTCTATTTTTAAATAATTTGTTTTGTGAGCTTAATTGCTACAGAAATATCAGCAGTAATTTTCAGCCATTGAATTTGAAATACTTGCATAGAATTTAGTTCATTTTCTGCAGCAGTACTACTTAGCTACTAATTTAATTTCTTGATAAACTATTGGAGAAATCAATAATGATGGCCAATATTTTCTTGTTGCTTACTATGGATCAGGTACTAATTGCTATACATAATCATTAAATTTTCATCACAACCTTATGACATATATTCTATTCTTATCTCTATTTTACACCGAAGAACAGAGAGGTTACATAATAGGCCCAAGATCACACACCCAGTGACTGAGCCTGGACTTGAACCTTGAAATCTGTCTTAAGTGTCCAGTCATTTCACTGCCATATTCTTGCTTTTCCTTAACAGCATGAAAGCAGTAATCAAGAATTGACAAAAACTGAGGTAATCCAGTGGCTACACAATCACATATCAGGATTCACTGAGAAAGTTTGCAATTCCAAATCTTTTTCCTAGGTGATTTCCTAAAGCTCACCAAAGACAGGAATTTCTAAGGTTTCTCAAAAGAAGAGGAGAAGAAAGAGGGCAGGGCTTTTGAAACCATGAGAGTTGGGAGGAAATAGGTGAAGAAACCCCAGGAGTCACTTTACAAATATTTCAGCTGGGGAATTGTTGGCAGAGAGAACACCATCAACTTTATCAAAGGCATCACGACTGTGTGTTTCCCCCCAGTTATGGGTGTGTGTAGTGGCACTGAACAGAACAGATGGCACTGAACAGAACAGTTTCACTCAGATGATAGACTGGAATGGCCAAACTATTCAGGTGTGGTTCTCTTTCTGGGTCCCTCACTTGCTACAGCAAGGAGCGTCTGCCACCTAGTGTTCATAAAAAATACTGCAAGAATTGGTAATCAACTGTTTCTCCATGAGTCCAGCTGACACCTCTTTCACCTGTTAAAGGTTGTCTATCCCAAGTGATTCTCACTTCTTCTGTCAGAAACAGGAAAAGAATGAGATTATTAACTATGTGGATTACTTTAGCTATAATAAACTTTAAAGTTGAAGCCTTCATTCAAGTTTGGTTCACTTCCCTTTTTCCACCACTTCTGGACAATGAAGTTGAAAGAAGTTGAAATGTTTGGAATGCTTCTCTAAGGTTAATCTCATGGACTGGCCTTTATGTATTTATTTTTATTGGTACTGAGGATTGAACCCAACGCCTTGCATGTGCTAGGCAAGTGCTCTACTGCTGAGCCCCAATCGCAGTCCTATGGACTGGCCTTTATAATTAAACAAGTTTCTTAGGGGTAGGTGGTGTGTCCTTAACTGCCTGTTTTACTATCCATCTAAATTCAAACTCTGGCATCTTGGATACTATTAAAACTGGAGTTTGAGATGAAAACACTTTTTCCACTTTTGCCAGTGGGTAGGATCTGCATAAGTTGCTGGAATCTGCAGCTGAGAAAGTCTGTTCTAGAGTTAGCAGCTGATCATAGCAGAGGAATGTCTGCTGGTATCAACTCGCAGCCAGCAAAACTGAATTCTTCACTATGGCTAAGCTTAGTGGTCATTTTACATGAACTGCTTACTCTTTCTGCCTACTTATAGTGCCTTACAGTTTTTCTTTGAAATAGTTATGTCATTAAGCAACTGAGTTATAAATGGTTCGTATACTTAACATGTACAGCTTTTGTGCCACAAATTATCTGCTTATATAACTTGCTCATAATATAAGAAAGAGAGTATGGGATACCCTCTTACTTATGCCTTCACCAGTGTTATCACTAGTTTCTCTTTGTTATTCATTGTATCAAATCTAATCATAGTACTTCAGATACAAAACAAATGAAGTAATTTATGGCAAAATGCTACTTTCAAGGATAAATATAAGAGTATTTGCATGAGTTGGAGAGAAAAGTTTCTTTGCTGAAGAGAAACAAGTTGGGTGATTCCTTCTTAAATTTGTTTTAATTATTCTTTATCCCAAGTTTGGCCAAGGTTCTTCTTGTTTGCTTTTTTCTCTGTACTGGGGATTGCACACAAAGACACTTTACCAATGAGCTACATTTCCAATTCTTTCTTTAGATTTTGAGACAAGGTCTTACTAAAATTGCTTTGTTTGACCTTTGTGATCCTCCTGCCTCAGCCTTACCTATAGCTAGATTACAGGTGTGTGTGTCATGATACGTGGTAGTGGCCAAGATTTTAAAATTATTTTTACTTTCCCATAAATATAGTAGCAGTTTGTGGTATTTTGATTAAAAGCATATGTTGATTATTCATATCTTTTGCTCTCTTTTTCCAAGGGATTATTCTGATTTTTCTAAGGTGTTTTAGAGTTATAAAAATGTTTTATACCTTCACCTTCACATTTTGTAAACAGACTAGTTTAAGCTGCCCATACTATTCATTCTTTTTGACCCCCTTTCCATTTACTGTTTGGTCAGGAGGGATAATTTCTTTTCTACCAACCAGATCCTACCATTAACAATAAACTACCTGATTCTCCTTAAATCCCAACCATCTAGGGTCAAAAAGATATATTTAATTCCAATTCCACATTAAATGCACCAGTGATATGAGCTACTGCCTAAATATTTATTAAAACTCTTAAATTAAAAAGTTAATGAGAGAACCTGGGAGACTTCCTCTACATGAAAGAGGTAGAAAAAGACATGTTTTTTATTAGCATGTTCAAGGTAGTCAAGATTTTAACAAACATTTTAATCCTCACAACAACCCTGTGAGGTAGGCAAGTCATTGTTTTATAATAAAGAAATATTCTAAATAAAGTGCAATTCCTAAAAGAATAAATCTACGTTAGAAATAATTGTCATTAATAATTTGTAATTATACCATTTATGTATAGTCTAATATTTGCTTATGTATATTTTGATTCATGCAATAATGTGTTACCAGGTAAGTTTACTGTAAATCAAATCTTATAACACTTGGGGGACTGTTTAAACCTGGGGTAATTTTTTTTGGTGAAATGAATCATTTTTTAATCTTATGTTAAAAAAGCAATTTTTATAGTATTCAAAGTGAGGCATTCTCAGCAACTTTCCACCCATATTTATCCATTCATAAGTTATCTCAACTTGGCACCAAGGCAATGTTTATTGAATGAAACTTTAGCAATTTGGTATATGGCAGTGAACTGCTATCATATAAAAGTCTTTGAATAAATTGCACCTAATCTCAACCCAAAACCTAAAGCAGACTATTTACTGAAGTGTAAACATTATAATTATGGTGATGATTTTCAAAAAATATTTTTTTTGACTTTGCTTTTTTGCCTTAAATTACAACAGGAAGAACAATCAGTATTCTTTCAATGAAACATGATATTCAGTTAACTATAGAATTTTAATGATTTATACTGCAAATCAAAACCTCATGCTATCAATTATTATTTACAAGGGAGCCAACAGATATGGCTTTAAAAATTAAAGTTTTGGGGCTGGGGATGTGGCTCAAGCAGTAGCGCGCTTGCCTGGCATGCGTGCGGCCTGGGTTCGATCCTCAGCACCACATACAAAACAAAGATGTTGTATCCGCCGAAAACTAAAAAATAAATATGAAAATTCTCTCATTCTCTCTCTCTCTTTAAAAAAAAAATAAAGTTTTTTTTTTTTTTTTTTCTGTGCCAATATAAAACATAACTAGGAAAACAACTACAGGCTGGGATGTAGCACTTGCTTAGCATGAGAGGTCTGGGTTCAGTCCCCAACACTGCCAAAAAAAAAAAAAAAAAGAATAAATATTCCCCAGGTACCCATTTTCCTTTTAAATATATATTTAAAGTACATATCTATTGTTAGTCCAACACTAGTAAACATCCAGTTACATAATAGTTTTTATAATTGTCTTATTTGCAAAATAATTTTTATTGGAGAATTTCTATTATATTTAATCATGACATAATTTATTTATAATGACTTTAATTAGGGTTGGATCCATTGGTAGATTTAGAATATTTTAGCAAGTAGTTAACTGTAATTTGCCATTATAAAAAAATTTAGGCCCAGGAAAAAAAAAAAAAACTCTTATGTAAAAAATTTTTTAAAATTGCTGTAGGGAAATTATGCAAAGCAATGGATAAAATAAACTAAGCTATCTGTAAGTTGTACATTCGAACTAAACCCAATAGTGCACTTTGAATTATAGTGAGGTAGGGCAAAGAAATATGGTCAGATATATCTTAAACTTTTGAATTGTATAAACTAAAATACTGACTTTTACTCAGATAACTAAAAAGAAAAATTTAGAATTCAAATGACAAAGCATTTTCTTGAATTTAAGTAGTATGAAAACCTTTGAAATACATACAAATGAAAAATACAAAGGCCACAAGATATATATTTTATTTCAACATAAAATATGATTGTATAAAAATAACCCAGGAAATATAAAAAAGAAATACAAACATTTTTGCATAGATCTTCATTATAAAACATTTACCTGGGTTAAACACTGGAAAATACACCTCTGAAACTAGTATAGTTGAACTATTTCCTTGGATACCAAGTATACACAAAATAAAAGCCCTTCATCTAGGGGAGCATGGGCAGGCGGGAAAACAATTTAATTTAGCATCAGTCTATATTTATTTCTCTGTTGCTCGAATATAAACCAATGATGACAAGAGGAGAAACTCTGGGGGTTTATTTAACAAAATTAAATTCACATTTCTGAGGCCATCATAGTGCATCCAATGTCCATCAATCTGGAAAGCTGCAGAATAATGGTGTTCTTCTTTATTAAATAATGTGGCACCTTCCAACAAATACCTGTAAATTAAATAATAAAGTATAGTGGAAAATCATAATACTTTGTTTTTAAGAAAAATATTCCTTAAATTCTTAATTAAGAAATAAAAACAAGATTGTTTTTAAAAAGGCATATGTTAAGGGCATCTGAGTGGCAGGCCACTCCCCTTGTGCTAGGCGTGTAAGTGCAGGCAGGCTGCTTTCCCCATAGGCCTGAGGCCATGTGTTGCAGTCCCTGCACTTGCTCCATGGCCCACTCCTCAATTGGTCAATGCAAGGATGGTTAGCAGAAATTGCCTGTAATCTGCTTAGCTACTGCCTGAGTAGATATACATGGTAACTGCGCAATAAATAAAATCAGACCTGCTTCCTGCTTGGTCTCCGTAAGATCTTGATTAGCCACTCCACAGCCATGCTCTCTTCTACCCTGTTCTGTGGACCTCCTCGCTGGACGAGAGAGAGCCCATGCAGCTATCCATATAAATCATGTACTATAATTGGTGATTTCAAGTAAAATATTTAAAAACCTTGATATAATTTAAGAATTAACAGACTAACTCACAACTGTGCTGTTCTACTAAAACAGTAGAGAACACACAAGAAAACTTTTGAAGGCAAAAGTTAATAAGTACCCTCTATTTCCTGATTTGTATACAGATGATTTTATTTATAAGAAGAAGTAACAATTTATGTTTAAATGATGACTTCCTGAATACAACTCAACACTAATTTGACTTGAAATACCAAAGAAAGCCAGGATTTACTATGTGCTTATTAAGTGTCAGGCACTACCCTAAACACAGCATACGCTGCCTTATCAAATTCTTCCAATAATGGCACCAGAAAAACACTGTCATCTCTATTTTATAGATAAGAAAACTTACGTGTACACTGGTTAAATAATTGGCCAAAGCTTATATAGCTTGTAAAAAAAATGGGGTAGGCCTGGCATGGTGGTACAGGCCTGTAATTCCAGGACTTAGGAAACTGAAGGAGGAGGATCCAAAGTTCTAGGCCACCTTGGCAATTTATTGAGACCTGGTATCAAAATAAAATTTAAAAAAGGGGCTAAGGATATTCAGTGTTAGAGCACCCTTGGGTTCAATCCCCACCTGTTCCATAATCCAAGTTTCTAATCCTTGTGGCCACTGCTAGTGACTAATTTCCTGTAAATTTATTTTATTTAACTGGGAATTGAAGCTAGGAGGCCTTTATTACTGAGCTACAACCCCAGTCCTTTTAATTTCTTTTTTTAAATTTTGGGACAGGATATCTCACTAAGTTGCCAAGGCTGGTTTTGAAGTTGCAATCCTGTCTCAGCCTCCCAATTCACTGGGATTACAGGTAATCGGCTAGCTCCCTATAGTAGATTCTTTTATTTTTTTAGTATTGGACATTGAACCCAGGGCAGCTTTACCATTGAGATACATCTCCAGCTTTTTTTTTTTTTTTTTGAGTCAGAGTATACTTAAGTTGCTGAGGCTGGCCTTGAACTTGTGATCTTACTGCCTCAGCCTCCTGAGACCTTGGGATTATAGGCATGGCCACTGTACCTGGCTCCAATAATATCTTTTTAATGGCTAGTCAAAATCATAAAAGACCAGAATAAACAAAAAGACTTATTTTTTACTGTTTTTGTCAAGCAAGCAAACCAAATCACCTACTTGTGATCAGATAAATCCAAATAATAGGGTACATATGCCAGATCTTCAGATTTCCAATGTTGCATATTTAAGACAACAAAAGGGGGTGCGCCATGGCAGAAAACTCGCTGGGAAAATTCTCTTAAGCCACCACACCTAAAGTGGAAAATGAGAATCAACATTATTATCTGAGTTGTCTTTATGACTTTAATTTTATAGAAAGTATAATCATGTATTATAGGTATGGGCAATGATATGGTTATATTTTACCTCATATATTCCTAGAAGTTTACTGGCTACATTTTCTACACTAGAAGTAATACTATTAAAACTCCTGGAGGGCTGGGGTTGTGGCTCAGTGGTACAGTGCTTCCCTAACATGCGTGAGGCATTAGGTTCAATCCTCAGCACCATATAAAATAAAATAAAGGTATTGTATTTACCTATGACTAAAAAATATGTTAAAATAAAAACAAAAAAGAAACTCCTGGAAAAGCGAGCCATTTCTTTCCAAGGTTATAAAAGCACTGTGTCTCCTGAACTGTTATAAAAGTCTTTATTGTAGATATATTTTTCTATTTATATGGTTTCAAATAATGACTCTAATTGCTTTCTTTTTCCATTTAAGATCTTCTATTGCATTAAACAAGTTCTCTTTTCTTAGTATTATTAGGTATTTAAGCAAAAGGATCAGAATACAATAAAGATAATTATACAGTAAAATCTCGATTAACCGGAATGTTGGGGCGGGGGGAGAGTCTGGTTAACAAACATTAGTGACTACACCAAGTTAGCCAGAAAATCATTTGTTTTAGAATTATGTGTTGAAACATGTTAGTTCACATTTTGGACTTAATAGGAACAAGTTACTGAATGTATTTGTATCTTCCCTTCTTTGGTGATTAGTAATAAAATAATTCTTCCAAATACTAATTTTCATTGTTCAATAATGTAGACATAGAAATTGCTAAGAGACTGGGTTGAGTAGGTTCTGTCCCTGGACTTTTTTTTTTTTAACTAAGTTCAATTTTTTCGTTGCCATTTACCTCTTTATCCTAAAGGAGGAATGCAGAAAAAAATCCAGTTAATTGAGGGTCCCGATTAGCTGGGTTCCGGTTAACCAAGGTTTTATTGTACCTACTCAGCAATGGGGAAAAAAAGAAAAGGCATTTGCTTTGTATTCATCAATTAGCTGTAGTACTATATTTTATATAGTGATATTTGATAATGAAAACACAACATAAGATGGCATAATAAACTAGGTCTGTTAAGAAGATTCAAAAAGGTTTAGGCTTCCTAAATACTTATGAGATGCTATTTCATCATATATTAACTTCAAACAGCACATTAATCCAGGAAAGGTTTTCCTCTGATATATTTCAAAATAGATATCACTGTATCAGTAATATAGGGAAACAGATAAAGTATATTTCACTAAAATGTTATATTAACTATAGAAAAACTTTCATCTTAAATGTCTATCATATACTCACCCACGCTCTTCACACAGTTCAATCTTAGAACAGAATAACTCATCCACAGCCAGTCGTATCAAGTTTCCATGTGGAATTTCTTGAGGAGGACTATAATAATTGTAAAATTCATGTAAGAACTGCTTCAACATTTTATAGGCCAATACATTATTAGGATAACAAATTCTACAGGTTGATCCATTATTAGCAGAACCAAGTATACCAAGCACAATCTGTTATCCATTTTTGTATTTCTTGCAGAAACCAGTTGAACTCAACTCAATAAATATTCATGCATAAAGGTTTTTTTTTTTTTTTTTCCCTTTCCTACCAGGAATTGAACTGTGCTTAGCCAGTGAGCCACATCCCTAGCCCTATTTTGTATTTTATTTAGACTCCAAGTCTCACTGAATTGCTTAGCTCCTTGCTTTTGCTGAGGCTGGCTTTGAACTCTCAATCTTCCTGCTTCAGCCTCCTGAGCTGCTGGCATTATAGGTGTGTGCCATCCCACTCCCAGATAATGCATAAAGTTCTCTAAGAAACAAAGTTTTCTGTAAACCAGTCTTGAAATACTCAGTTGTTGCTACTCTAATTAACAAAACCAAATAAACAATGTCCTCCCGCCCCTAAAATCAGAGGCAATATGCTCTAGTGAGTAAAAACTAGGGCCCAGAGTCAGGAGAGCAGCTGATAATTTACCTGACTAGATACAAATCACAAACATTCTTGGTCTCAGTTACCTGATCTGTTAATAAAATTTTTCCTATATTCTTCAAAGTTGTTTTAAATGTGAGATTTTAAAAAATAGAAGCTTAAACAGCTTATAACGATGAACATATTTTATTGAGAGAAGTATAAAATATTAGTATCACTGTACAATTACATTTCATTATATTTTTACAAGATTTACAGATAAAAAATACTGGTTTTTAAAAACCATTTTTTTTTTTCTTTTTCAGTGCTAGGGATCTAACCTAGCCCTGCCCATGTGAGACAAGTACTCTACCAACTGAGCTACATCCCCAGACCCACTAGTTTTTAAAAAACAAGATAAATTTATGAAACACTTTTTAGCCCATTATGATGTAAAGTAAGAACATTTTTTTCTTCTGATACATTTTAAAACCAGCATCACTGTATCAGCAATAAAAGGGAAAAGACAAAGTATATTTCAGAAAATGTGAGCTTAATTAATTAGGGTGTGTGATATACATTCCCAAAGGCTGCTTTTCTGAACCACAGGGCCAAATATCCTTTCTGACAACAACATGCTTGGGTCTGTTTCTCTTCCATGGGCAATTATTCCTTTTTCAGCTCATGTTCCCTGGGGGATTTAATGTTTCCCAGCATTCCACTAGGGCTTGCCAGTTTGGCCTCCCTCTCTGTCATTTACCAGCTTGGATGTCTGCCCTCTCTGAAAGCCAAAAACACTGTGCTGCTCCTAGCACGTTTCCCAGTCTGTATAAAAGCTCCTCACATCCACATCCTTCCCAGGTATTAGATGCCAAATTTGGGTTTTCTGTCTATAATTATGTCCTGGTCTTAACATAAGATTAAAAAAAAATTCTCTTGTTCATCTGGAACTAGCCTTTCTGACAGACCCATTTGAAAAGTGAAACATTCCAAAACAGGAAAGTGCCCTTTAATCCATTAGTTTGCTATTGAAAGGTTACACATACACACACACACACACACACACACACACATATAATATTGATTTAAAAACAAAAGCCATGAAACAGACATTATAGCAACTTACTTTATATTAATTGTGCGCTGCTGATCTTCCTGTACTCGAGTCGGGCATCGCCAGTTGGAACAGTAACTCTCTTGAATGGTAGACATGAGATTTTCGAGATTTTTTGTAAAGTTATCATGCTCATTCCCAAACAAATCAATTATTAATGAAGCTTTATGAACTTCAGATTTGTATTGCTGTTTTTCCATTTTGTCCCAAATCCAAAGTAGCTTCACAGTTGTAAAACTGTAGGTGTCCATTAAATAAAGAAAACAGTCTATAAACTCTCTACCAAAATGAAGAGAGAGTTCCCTAGGAAAATTTTCATTTTCATTAAGAATGACATATAATAACATCAAGAATCCATCTATGGTGCAGGTATTTTTCAGTCTTATTTCAACATAGAGTGGTGTACAGGATACTGCTTTGCGGCCAGCTTTGATAGTAAAAACACCTCCCCAAGGAAGAACAGGCCTCCAAAATGATCGATCTTGGTTATAATTATTTTTAATTGATGCTTTGATCTCTTCAAACAGTGTCTTCATCCTGCATTTGAAAAGTTTAAAACAGAACATGTAAATGCATGTACAGTTTTAGGGGCAATATTTATGATCTCCATAAAGACCATTTAAGAAGGCAGAACTTTTTTTTTGAGGTACAGAATAGCCATCTGATAGGCATATATATATTAATTATATTGCAGATTTTATCTGTATAGGAAAACCCTATAATAAAAAAATCCTAAATGAAAATAAACTAAATTTGTTTAGACATATTCCTAAAGTAAACCTCCTCTTTCTTTTAAAATTGAAGCTGTGCTTCCATTTCCTTATATTTGTGGTTCCCCTTAAGAAACTGATATAGTGGAATCCTTAGTTTGGGGGTATAGGATAAGAGCCACTTAGTGTTCTTTATATTAGTCATACTACACATTTTATCTGCAGTATTAAAAAACCTGTGTATAGCACCTGTTGATATAGACAAAGACTAATTCTGGCATTTAACTTCCCCTTACCTTAAGGATAGCTAAATACTTTCTTTTCAAAGCCACTGACACTATATTTTGATAAACATGTTTGTATCCTAAGTATGTTACATAAAGCCAAAATTTTTTTTCGAAGTTCCTATTAAAATAGTATTGGAAAAAGTTACTTCATTTTACTTGGGACAAATAGATGTATAAACTGAAAACATATTGTTTTCTAACTTTTACAGAAAAGTGTATTTTTATGAAAAAAAGGAAGCATCCGAAGCATAAGAACAGGGAAGGAAGTGACTGAAGTCGGTGTCTTATACTGACTATCTTTTCAACTGTTTCATTTTCCCAAGCACAACATGAGCCCAATACCCAATAATACTGCAGACCTGTGGGTTTTGTGTGAAAAAATTAAGTTCAAACCTATTTCACAATACTAGCCAACTAAAAATTTGGTTCTACAATATATTAGATAAAACACATGCAGTGTTTTCCATCTGAAGCAAGATATTGTGGACTCTAAAATATTCAACACTATATTTAGTTTGAAGTGTAAATGTTTATATATAGTCTGCTAACATGGCGGCGGAGGTCAACCACTTAGAAATAAGAGGGTGTGGCAAATCTAAACTTTAGGAAAACACACTCATTTCTTAATAGAAGCTAACTTTCGTTTTCAGAGATTTTTAAAAACCATAAACATTTAAATATTTTAAAAATTAAAATACACTTTTTCATGATTTGAGCTATATCTCTTGAATTTTAAAGAACCCTGTAGCAGGTTTAAGATTGCTTAATAAGCTTGAGTTCAGATTCCTAATACTGCATTGGAAAGGATGATTTAATCTAGTATGTTTGCAAATTATCTCTTAAACATGACCAAATAAAGGTATCTGTAGCTCTTCAAAGCAATAGTTATAATCTGAGAAAATTAAACCACAGTGCTACACATGGTATGAACCTAACTTTAGCAAGGGAAGACTGGAAGAACTAATGGACACTGAACCTAGTTTAAGCATTAATTTGGTGATATGCTCAAAAGTAGACTGCAATAAAAATAGGGAAAAGAAAAAAAAAAAACAGATGGAGAGATGGCTGCAGACAACTTTACTTTAAATTGCCTTAAGTTTTGCCACATCGTTGAAAAGGTTGTTCCGTTAGGCAATGTATTAGAAACACTGGAGGACGTACTTTCCTGCCTCAACAGGGCCTCCAGTTGAATAAATCTGGAAAACCCTCCTAACCTCCATTTCCTTGGCAAAACACCACCTTTTCTTTTCAGTCATTCCCAAGAGTGGCAATTTGTACCCCAAGTTGGCAGAAAGGATCAGACTACCTGCCCTAGGCACTGAATGCCATACCTCCAAATAATTCAGAAGTCCTAGAGTCCCCCCTCGAATAAGCGCCCCCGAAATACTCCTCTGAAAGAACGAGCACGCGCTCCTCTTGGAAGCGCTGCGGGACAGGGACCTGCGGCGCGCGCTACCGACACCCCTTTCCAGCTCTCTCCTCTGGCCACGCCCACCCGGCTGCGCTCCCTGGAGGCCTGGCACGGAGGGCTGGCTCCGCACCGAGGGCGAGTCCCGGAACCTGGACTGCTGGGCGCTCCTGCCTCCATCCGGGCAGTGCCCCCGCGGAGAGCCTGGGACTGCGAGCAAATGGGCGGGAAGGCCGGGTCGCGGAAGGCATTCACACATCGGCCAGTCTCTGTCCACTAGGAAACTGAATCCTCGTACCTCCCCGGGGACCGAAAACCGCCGGTGCCGCCGCACCCGTCGTCGCCGCCGCTTGCTCATGGAGAGCCCGGGCTGCCACCGCCGCCGCCGCCGCCGCCGCCTCATCTACTAGCACCGCGGGCTGTCTCGGCCTCCCCCGGCGTGAGTGCTGGGCTCCGGCACGGCCTCCATCGCACCCGCCGCGGCGGGAGCCACAGCAGCTCCAGCGCCCAGACCTGATCCGACCGGACCCACGGAGCCAGGACCGCGGGAGGCAGGACGCGTCGCTTCTTATTACGGAGGAAGATTCGGCCTGACCTCCGCCCCCCTCCCCCCAGACCCCAGGGTCCAGCTGCCTAACCGCTCTGCTGCGCAGGCGCGAAGACGCCCTGGCCAAACGTGCGTGTATCGAGTGTGTATACAACGTCCAGAATTGCCCAATGGGAACCAGGATCAGGTGTGGGGGGCGGGACCTCGCGGAGAGGGGTGGGGCTCCAGTGTGAGAGGGTGGGTGGGGCAGCCGGAAAAGGGTTGGGTTTGCACGGAGGCGGAGCTTATTGGCAAAAGCGATTGGCTTTTTGAGGTTTGTACCATTTTAGAACTTTACTTGGTTTCCTCTTAAATTCTTTATTCACATGGGAGAAGTTCTGTTTTCTCACTAAATTGTGGATCTATAATATTTCAGTTTAATGATATATTTAGGAAAATATTGAATTGGTGTGTCATATGCTAGTGTTCAAGATTAGCTAATATGCTGTAATTTACAATGAAAGTTAATACCATTTAAAAAATTAGATAGCCTTAACCCCATTTTAGGGTTGAAAAAGTCAGGGTTTAAAAAATTAGTTTTATACATGGCAGATTTCCACACAGTAGGTGACAGAGCTGGAAATTGAAGTTAGGGTTGCTTAATACTAGAGTTGTGGGGCTCAGCCACTGTTTTTATTAAGCCCTCGTTTTTTGTATTTTTTTTTTCAGTTAATTTTCTGTTAAAAAGTAAAAGCCCCACAGGCTCTGCTAGGAGAGAATGGGCCACCCTCTACCTGTAATTAGAAATGTAGACGTTGAGATTTTTTTCCCATCCAGCCATTGGACAATGATTGAAAGCTGAAGACTAGCCCAGAGGAGCATTGTATTTCTCACAGGTAGAACTAGGGAAGATTGGATGCCTTTTTTTTTTTTTTTTTTTTGTAGATTTGGATGGACAGCATGCCTTTATTTTGTTTATTTATTTTTTTAATGCAATGCTAAGGATGGAACCTAGTGATTCACACATGCTAGGCAAGCACTCTGTCACTGAGCTACAGCCTTAGATGCCTTTTTGAACAGTGTAATGGTCAGCAAGGCTGTGGCACTGACCTTACTCATGAATCTTTTTGAAGGGGTCTAGTGATACAGGGATGGAAGCTGGGAGTAAATTTAAGATAACTAGTGATAAAAATAAATGGATGTCTTAGAGCAGGGGTGAGGGAATATGACTCTGCCTCCCAAAATATAACTAATAACTGGAAAAGCCTGCTTTTGGTTTTCTAATTTCTTATGGCATTTAATGGAAAAAAACCATCTAATGGTTTTTTCACTAAGGATCTGAGAGATTAAATACAAAACACAGAAAATAATTCACATAGTATTAAACTTACCTTGCAAGTAGAAAAGCCTTTTAAAACTGTTAAATATGTGGATTATATGTTACATTCACATGGAGTTCATTTTATACTGATTATGTCATTTTCTTCCTGATAACAGACATAATGATGGTTGACACCAGTTCCGGACAATGTCAGTGAGATGACTCTTTAAACCCTTAAGGTTCAGCAGAGTGGAAGAAGTGTGGATTCTTTGCATGCTTGTGTGATTCACAAACTTCACTGAGGCCTTTAACTGAGATTTCCATTCTTTCCCCCTTCCAGTCTCCTTAAAATCTTTTTTTTTGGGGGGAATGGGTATTAGGGACTGAACTTAGGGGCACTTGACCACTTAGCCACCTCCCTAGCCCTATTTTGTATTTTATTTAGAGACAGGGTCTCACTGAGTTGCTTAGTGCCTCGATGTTGCTGAGGCTGGCCTTGGACTTGAAATCTTCCTGCTTCAGCCTCCTGAACCCCTGGGATTACAGGTGTGTGCTACCGTGCTAGGCTCAATCTTCTTAAAATCTGACAGCTAATTGCAGATTTTTAAAATAATATTAATGAGAGATAATTGATATACAATAAACATGGAGCACGTTTAAAGTATACAATTTGCAAAGTTTTGACATACACCCTCCACACTGAAACCATTGCTTTGATTAAGTGAATATGTCCATCACTTTCAAGTTTCTCTCCTGCCCCTTTATAACTTCCTCCCTACCTTACACACCTAAGCAACAACAGGTCTACTTTCTGTTAGTATGGATTCATCTGCATTTTCTAAAGTTTTATATAAATGAAATCACAAATGTATCCTTTTTTGGTCTGTTTTTTTTCACTAATTTTCTGTGTACAATAGTTCATTCTTTTTTAAAAAAATATTTATTTTTTTGTTGTAGTTGGACACAAACTTTTCAAAATTTCTCCCTCCAAACAGTTCCGAAGGCTTCTGAATCACATGGTCAGGTTAGTCATGGCAACAACCCCACTTCTTGGAACCAGTTTCTGTTTTAGTTAGCTTTTGCATTTCTGTGACCAAAAGAGCAACTTAGTGGAGTAACTTAGAGGGGGCTCATGGCTTCAGAGGTCCATGGATGGCTGACTCCTTTGATCTGGAACCAAGGTGAAGCAGCACATCATGGGAGAAAGGTCCAGCAGAGAAAAGCTGCTCAACTTATGGTGTGGTCAGGAAGCAAAGGGAGAGGAAGGACCACAGGAAGAAAAACCCTTCTAGGGAATACCCGCAAAGACCCATCTCCTCCAGCCACTGCACTACATGCCTATAGTTACCACCCAGACCTTTCGAATGAGTGTGAAATGATTAGGTTATAGCTTTCACAACCCAGTCATTTCACTTTAGAGTATTCCTGCATTAATAGGAGTTTTGTGGAACACCTCATACCCAAACCATAACAGCATCTTTTCATGGGTTTATATGCCATCTGAATTTCTTTTAGAGTCTAATCAGATCTTCATTTCATTTTTTACAAAAAATGGATTGCTTATTTTCTTAAATTTTGAAAGTTTTAAAAAATATATCCTGGATACAAGGCCTTTGTCAGATAAATGCTTTGTAAATATTGTCTCCCAGTATGTAGTTTGTCTTTTCGTTCTCTTAACAGTGTGTTTTGAAGAGAAGTTTAAATTTTTTTTTTTTTTGTGTGTGTGTGTGTGTATGGTGTTAGGGATTGAACCCAGCGCCTTGTGCATGTAAGACAAGTGCTCTACCAACTGATCTTTATCCCCAGCCCAATTTTAAATTTTAATGAGGTCCAATTTATTATTTTATGGACCATGTTCTTAGTTTATCTCTAAGAAATATTTGCTTACTAAAATTACAAAGACTTCTTTCTGTGTTTTAGACTGTACATAGGTTTATGATTTACTTTTTTAAAAAAAATATTTTTTTAAGTTGTAGTTGGATAGAATACCTTTATTTTATTTATTTATTTTTATGTGGTGCTGAGGATCAAACCTAGTGCCTTGCACATGCTAGGTGATTACTCTCTCACGGAGCCACATCCACAGCCTTTATGATTTACTTTGAATTAACTTTTGTACATGATTTGAAGCATGGATTCAAGTTTATATTTGTTGCAAATAGATAATTATTCCAGAAATAGTTGTTGAAAGACTATTATTTTTCTACTGGGTTGCCTCAGGGGTTTTGTCAAAAATTAGTTGTCCATTTTATATTTATTCAACTTCAAATCGATGTCAGACAATGTGTTAGCAATGAAGATATGTATCATTAAGTGTTTTTTGGTTGCAAAGACTAGAGACAAATATTTCCAACTCAAATAAAATAATACACTTATTGGAAGGATGTAAAGTATAATAGAATTAAAGGAAAAGCTGAAAATCAGTTGTTGGCTACTTTCACTGATAAAAGGGGGTAGGTAATTTCCCAAAGGATAATGAGGCCCTATCAACAGAAGAAGAGAAAATTGTGGTAGGTGTCTGCTACAACAGTGCTTCTTAACATTTTTTCCCCATACCAACACATGATAAACGATAAGAATTGAGCAGTTTGTGAGGATAAACTGATGACTATTAGCAAGTGTCTGTATGAGGTGTGATAAAAATTTCATTATTATTCATTATATTATGTAATTTTAAGAATAAAGCAAAATATCAGGGAAGATATAGAATATTGAATTATGTAAAACTTCTCAATAAGGTATTAAATTTATTGAAGAACTTTCACTTTTTTTCTATTATATGATATTTCAGACCTTTTCTCAAAAATAATTATAATATACTTAAGGAAAAGTACAATGCAGCTCAGTGAGTTTTCACAAAGTGAGTATACATGTGTTCCATTTCTGCATACTTGCATAACAAATCACTTCAAAATGTACATGCTTAAAATTGAAGCATTTCTTTTCTTCATGAATTTACAGTTTAAATAGGATTCAGATTGGGTAGCTCGAAGGCCAGGAGACTGGAAACATCTGCAGTCTCCTTCACTTATACATCTGGCTATTAATGCTACCTGTTGCTGAAACTTTAGTTGTCTGTGAGCAGAATACCTATGCGTGGCCTTTCCATGTGACTTTCTGTCTACATGGTGATTGAGTACTAAGGTTCAGTGTCCCAAGAAACAGGTAGAAGGCCCATGTAGAAGCTCTAGTATCTTTTTAAACCTAGAATTGAAAGTTATGCAATGTCACTTCCACTGCATTGTGTGTGTGTGTGTGCGCACGCACGTTTGCATGCATGCATGGTACTGGGGATCAAACATGACCTCACATGCTAGGCCAGCATTCTACCACTGAGTTACACTCCTAGCATTAAAGCATTCTTTTTGCTAGAGGTCAGTCACTAAGGCCAGCCCAAGTACAAAGGGGAGAAGGAGAGCTTTATCTTTTGATAGGAAGCATTTCAATGAATCCATGGATATGTTTTAAAACCATCACACATATGAAAAATTCCCTGGTCATGAAGCAGAATATTACCAGTGCCCTGGCCTCCCCTTTTGTCATTATCTCCCATGCCAAGAGGAGTAACCATCATCCTGAGTTCTAACAGCATAGATTGTTGTTGCCTGTTTTTATATTTTCTAAAAATCAAATAATAAAATATATATTCTTTTTTTTTTGGTCTGGCTTATTTCTCTTAACATTGTGAGATTCATTCGTATTATTTTATGTGGATTGTTCTTATTAATATTTATAATTCTGTT